GGCCACCATGATGGAGAAGTGATGACACTCAAAGACGCTGTTAGGATATAACTTGAATTTGATTTGGGTTTGTTTTGTGTTTTGGGCCTATTTTGTTTGGGTTTGTGCTTGGGCTTTCTTTTGGCCTTTTCCTTGTATGTTTGGGAAAAGGTATTTGGTTTTCTGTTTGGGATTAGGAGAAGATTTCTATAAATACTCCTCATCACCCTAGTCTGTAGTAAGGTCAGTCAGGTTAGTTTGTTTGGTTTGTCCGTTCGGAATTTGGTTTGTAATCTGTACTCTCCTCAAATCAGTGAAATTTGTCCCCCCCCCCCCTGCCCGTGGATTAGCTAGCACACACTGTGTTAGTGAACCACGTTAAATTTGTGTTCATTCTTGTTTGTTTGGATTATCGATTGCACGCTTTTGTTCTGACAAGAAACCCTAACCACCACCCAAGGAAAACAACCAAATTCTGCAAAACAGTAAACAAGACAAAAGCTAGCTGCAACTTCAGCGCACAAAAGCTAATGAATTGTAATAATAATCACAAATGCACAATTCCATCCAAATTGTCGTAATGACCACACATTCCCAAGGTTGCTGCTTTCTTCAACTTTGGGACAACTAATATTGTGATATTAATCACAATTTATCTCCGAGGCAAACCATTGAACAAGTTGGTCAGTCAATTTGCGACACCGTCAACAGCTTTTATTGGAAACTAAAAGCTAGGAGAAACCAAAAAACACCACCGCGAACCAAAATTGGAGAACACTTGAAGTAATTCCTCCGCCAACCCAAATCGAAAACTATCTCCTGATACAACAGAAGTTGTGTCAATCTCCGCCAATTATTTTGTTCACTAACATAGTGTGTGCTAGCTAATCCACGGGCAGGGGGGACAAATTTCACTAATTTGAGGAGAGTATAGGTTACAAACCAAATTCTGAACGGACAAACCAAACAAACTAACCCGACTGACCTTACTACAGACTAGGGTGATGAAGAGTATTTATAGAACTCTTCTCCTAATCCCAAACAGAAAACCAAACACCTTTTCCCAAACATACAAGGAAAAGGCCAAAACAAAGCCCAAACACAAATCCAAACAAAATAGGCCCAAAACACAAAACAAACCCAAATCAAATTCAAGTCATATCCTAACAATCTCCACCTTGACTTGAATTCTCTGTCAAATACCAGATGTACCAGACGCATCCAAAGTTGCCAGATGTACCCAGACACGATGCATATCGCCAAATTTACCCATATGCGATCGAAATCGCCAGATATCCAGATGTGATCGAAATCACCAAACTCAAACGTTACCAAACACAAATTCAATTGATTTGCCAACTCCCCTCGACGAAGTCCAAATCCTCAAAATTTCTTCTCAACAAATACAACCAAATAGCCGCAAACCCTAACTAGGCGCAAAAGACTTGAAGCTTCGACGCCAAAGGAACGATGCGAACATTGACTTCCAATCAATCAATCTAGCAACCAGCAGCATGATCCCAAAATCCACTGACAGTTTCAAATAGCCCAAAGATCAACCAGGCTCTGATACCACTTGCCAAACCGGGGAGCTCAATTAGTACGATATTGTCCGCTTTGGGCCAAGCCCACACGATTTTACTCTTGGGTTTCCTCCCCAAAAGCCCTCGTACTAATTGGGCTAGGTGGACACTTATATACAATGGTTCCTTCCCTTGTATTTCCGATGTGGTACTTGGATTGTACCATAACAGACGCGACGTAGAAGACCGCGGAAGAGTGCACAACATCATGGGATATTTTATCCTAACTTCTTTGTTCTTCATTGATCATGTGATGGCATGAAGCAAAACCACACATTAGCTAGTCAAATCTCTATTGCAAGAGGTGCATTCACGAGTAGAGAATGGGCTTGGAGGAAGGGATAGGGCATCATAATAGAAGATGCACAGTTGCATCTTATTGAAGAGATTGTATGCATTACCATCTAAAAGGAGCTATTTAAATATTACTTTCTTTCTTGCATTCTTGTTTTGTTTCTTGCATAAGTAATATACGAGTAGGGGGCACCTCAACCCACCTAGGTTTAATTTCTTGCATTGCATACATCGAATACAATTGGTTAGGTTTGAGTAGTTACTATTGAAAGACCCTCTAGAATATGACCCTAAACACATCTAGAAATTTATCTTTTGAATACTACATCAGAATGATTCTAACCTAGCTAAACGCTCAAGAAGTAAGGCTCGAAATATGAATAACTTTGTCGAACACTGGGAGACAAAGCAAGACGAGCTTAGGTTTTATAGAAAAATGACGGAAAAAATCTCTGTCGAAAAGACAAAACATTGCCTGAGACGTGGAGGGAGAGATTTGCGCACGAAGCAATCTATCCCCTACGCCAACAGATTCTGCATCGAAGTCGGAGCAAGATTGGTTCACATGACAAGAGAGCAACCCAAGTCAAGCAAGAGATGTTTGGCTAGGAGAGAACAACGAGAAGTGGCAACTATGGTGGAAGGGGCGGCTCACTCGAAGACTCGTTGGAGAAGGACGAGGAAGAGAATTGCACAACATCGCGGAGCCACGATAAATAATGATGACCATCCTCGACTTGCCAAGAGCAGCAAGAAAAGGCCACCATGATCGAGAAGTCATGACACTCAAAGACGCGACGTAGAAGACCGCGGAAGAGTGCACAACATCATGGGATATTTTATCCTAACTTCTTTGTTCTTCATTGATCATGTGATGCCATGAAGCGAAAGCACACATTAGCTAGTCAAATCTCTATTGCAAGAGGCGCATTCACGAGTAAAGAGTGGCTTGGAGGAAGGGATAGGGCATCATAATAGAAGATGCACAGTTGCATCTTATTGAAGAGATTGTATGCATGACCATCTAAAAGAAGCTATTTAAATATTACTTTCTTTCTTGCATTCTTGTTTTGTTTCTTGCATAAGTAATATACGAGTAGGGGGCACCTCAACCCACCTAGGTTTAATTTCTTGCATTGCATACATCGAATACAATTGGTTAGGTTTGAGTAGTTACTATTGAAAGACCCTCAGGAATATGACCCTAAACACATCTAGAAATTTATCTTTTGAATACTACATCAGAATGATTCTAACCTAGCTAAACGCCTAAGAAATAAGGCTCGAAATATGAATAATTTTGTCGGACACTGGGACAAAAAGCAAGACGAGCTTAGGTTTTATAGAAAAATGACGGAAAAAATCTCTGTAACATTGCCTGAGACGTGGAGGGAGAGATTTGCGCACGAAGCAATCGATTTGAACTCTGCACCTCGTCTTGCAAATATGAGTTGTCTAGCGGTGGCGGTGGTCGCCGGGCTTTGGGCCAGAGCTCTTGCATCTGCTCCTTGTCTTGGGCTTCTTCGTTTTCCTTTTTGTTGTTGTCACAAGGATTTGGTGGTTGATGGTTGTGGATTTGGAAGGGCATGTCGGATTGGGGAAGAAGAGTTGGACAGTTGGAGAAGAAGAGAGTTGCGCAGGGAAAGAAAAATTCGCTGGCATGTGAAGGGAAAGTCGAGAGAGGCGAAAAGTTACTCGAAGGGGAAGGGAAAACTCACGTATACCAATTCCCCGCCTGTTATTTACCAGATGGGAGTCAGTATACCGAGGGTGGATTATTACTACGGTATAGCGGTACTGCCGGCAGGGGCGGAGCCAGGATTTCGAGATCGGGGGGTCGAAAATAATTTTAAAAAATATATAATCTTTATTATTATTTTAGAAGTACACGATATTCTTTGAGATCATTGAACGTAATAAAACGAGGTGGCTTTTGCTTATACTATTTTGACAATAATGTGGATATGAGAAGATGTTTCGGTTTGGTTTAGGGAATGGCAACGGAATTGGACTTGGAGGTGGTTTTTTGTTTGTACTTTCTAACAAAAAGTGGGGCATGGGAGATTTATAATTGGTTTGGGGAATCGTAGATGGTGATTAAATGGGAGGTTTTCATTTGGTTTGGGGAATGCAAAATGTATATAGCAAATGGGAATCGAACTCATGTGGTTTAGGAGACAAGTCAAGTGTGACTATCATTAGACAACAAGGCTATTACTTGACAAAATTAACAGAACCAACTCTACTTATAAAATTTGTACTAACGGTTAACGTTAGCTCCACCCCGGGTTGAACATAGCTCCGTCGCTGACTGCTGGTTAACGGTTAACGGTGATTACCGATTCGGTGACCAATTATATCATTAACCGGCAAACCGATTACCACCCCTAATTGTACGTACATGGTTTTTCGATCTGTGGTAAATAATATTCAGCGTGGAATTTAAGGCTTCTACGACAAAGCACTTAAAACAGCAAAAATATTTACGTACCTAAATCGAAGGGGGATCACGACTTTTTGACTGCCGTAATTAAATCTCTCTGCCCTCGTACGTCTATAAATATGTATAGCTTGTCTTCTTCCATTAAACTCGTGACCAAAACCATCATATCCTATCATATTTCTCATCTGTTGTGTCTCTATTTTATTCACAAAAACCTTCCAACAAAAGGGTTCCCGATGTAAGTATTCCCCTGATCCCATCCCTCATTTCCCAAATTACTTCCTCGTTGTGATACCTTTTTTTTTTCTTGATCATCAAAAGAATTCCCATTCAAGGGTTGCCCTTCTTGCTGCAGGCTTATGATCATAGCATGAACCATAGAAGAAATTAAGAAGGTTTCGAATTCGAAGAATTCTTCCACGCCAGCCAACTCGCTTGACGTGTTAGCGAGTCAAGCAGGCGTAGGGTTCTGCTATTTGCATCAACAAATTCATCCAGCACTGAATAGTGCTATTAATCGTTGAATTAAGTAAGTTGTTTTCTTTTCATATTTAAGCATTCATAAAACTTCATTTCTTGATGATTAACAGCACATCCAAAAATTCTCACGAAAATTATAATAATTATGATATTCATAAAATACATTAATACTGGCGAGCACAGGCAAGATGGACAAAACACTGAGGGGAGCGCAGTACACGATGAGCGACGGGCACACGCTGGCGACGGAGGTAGTCAACGACGAGGAATCCCACCTCTGCCTCTACATCCTCCTCCAGGACATGTTCAAAGTCGGGGACATGGTCGTCGGCATCGACATCGAGTGGGGCTTCAAATCCACCTCCTCCTCCTCCTCTTCCGCCGCGGTCAGCAGATCCGCCAGCCTCTCCGGTCGCACCATTCCACTCGACTCCCAAGCCCACCAACAACAACAGCCACCGCCTTCCGCTCCGCAGCAGCACGCAGCCCTGGTGACGCTCTGCACCAAGCTGGGCTGTGTGCTGATACGGATGAACCCGAAGCAGCTGCCCTCGCTGTCGCCGTCCCTGCGCAAGTTTCTCGCCATCAAGGAGATCCTCTTCGTCGGGGTCCACATCAGGGAGGACCTGCACCGGATGAAGAAGTTGTACGGCGTGATCGTGAGGAACGCGGTGGAGCTGAGCGACCTGGCGGCGAAGATGAACGACCACCCGAGGTTCCTAGGGATGAGCGCCAGGGAGCTGTGCTCCAAAGTTTGTTCGATCAAGTTGGAGCAGAAGCCGTTCGTGGTGCTGTGGTCCAACTGGTTCGACACCACGCTGAGCAACGAGCAGCTCGAGTCGGCGACCACCGATGCGTACGCGGCCTATAAGACGGGGCGGAAGATGCTGGAAGGCGGCAATAGCAGCGTCAAGAGGTTGTTTTATTGATTGATAGCTACATTTTTCATCTACGGGGGAAAAAGACCGTCAAAAGTAGGGAAACGGTACGGTTGTCAAAATAGTTTTTGGCGACCATTTGGTTGGTTTTTTGGCGAGCTATGTTCTAGTTTAATTCAAATTATTATTATTAGAATAGCTGATTTGGGGAGTTGGGTGACTTTGGATATAGATTCAGTTTAGTTTAAATGTTTGTATATAGGGGTTTTTTTCTGGGTGTTTGTTTTAGGGGGTTGCTAATTATCGCCCTGTGTTTTACTTTAATCGTCCTAACTTACAAATGACAATTACATTTTTATCCTTTTCTTTGTTTATCATTAAAAAATAGTTTAATTTTAACAACAACTAGGGCTGTCATTTCGGTTGCCGGTTAGCGGCTAACTGACCGGTCTAACCGTTAACTGCCGGTTAGCGGCTAACCGAAAACCGAAAAAACAGAGGGACGGTCGGTTGACGGAAGGGATCAGTGGTCAAGCAGTTAGCCGAGAAACCGAAGTCGGTTAACCGGCTAACCGACGCTAACCGACCGAGACGATACGACGTAGTTTTGCCTACCTCTTAAATAGGCCAACTCCCCCCCAACCCTAGCACTGTTGGCCTTCTTCTCCACTTTTCCCTCAACTCTCACCTGTCTAGCCTGGCGGCCTTATTACACGAAACACACATGCAGGACAGAATGAAACAAAGAGGGCGCCGGCCGGCCGGGCACCGTTCATATCATTACTTGCACTTCTTGGTGCAGAAGCAACGGCGGCGGAAACCCTGGCAGTCGCCGCCGGAGAAATGCTCGAGCCTGCAGATCTGGGCACAGTTGTGGTCGCGGACGCAGGGTCCTTGAAGCCGTGGCTTTTCGACGAGCCACTCTCCCCTCCGCCACCATCACTCCTTCCCCTGCACCAAAAACGTCGAGGAGGAGGAACTCAAAACGGGGGACATGCAGAAGAAATTGAAAGAAGACGGCGAGGAGGAGGAACTCAAAACGTCGGAGAAGGCGGAATCGAAGGCACCGGCCAAGGCTCCGTCCAAGGGCGCCTCGCTGAAGAAATCACCGACCAAGGCTCCGTCGCCGTCGAAATCGTCGAACTCCACCTCCGGGGGAAAGAAGGGGAAGTCACCGGCAACCTCCCCGTCGTCGTCGTCGGACTCTCCTGTTCCAGCTCCGTCGAAGAACCGAGAAGGCAGCAGGTGGAGGAAGGAAGGAGAGAATGGATAAGTGGTTGGTGGAGGAAGGAAGAGATAGGAGGAGATAAGGTTTGGTGGGTGTGAATTGGTAGAGAGAGGAGGAGATAGGATTGAAATAAGTGGTGTTGATTTTTTTTTTAATTTTTTATTTTAGAAAAGGTAGTTTCCTGGTCGGTTAGGTCATTGAACCGAACCGCCCATCAAATTGTCGGGTGCCCCGGTTTAACCGCGCCTAAACCGAAAACCGCCCGGTCGGTTTGCGGCTAACCGAGGCTCTGTGGTCGGTCGGTTGACGGTGGCTTCTGGTAGGTCTCGGTTTAACCGAAAACCGAGAATTCGGTTTTCGGTTAAACCGAAACCGACCGGTTGCCAGCCCTAACAACAACGCATAAAAACTAGTTGGCCGTTGGAATTACCCTGCCGTTTCCCGTTCCGGGAAGGAGGGCGATTTCAACTCCCACGGCAGTTTTTTCCCCGGTAGATTGAAGGGCTAATTGTTACCTCCCTGATACCTTCGTTTAGTGCTACGATTAGGTACATTGCAGCTAATGTCAACATTGCATTTTACACTTCAAATAACATCTCAGGAACAACTAAATCAACTGTGATTACAACTGAAACAGTGGATAATGATAATTAGACATAAGACTAAGCACTATTAAGTAAGAATGAACAGATGAAATAGACAAACAGATCAAGTTCTCCTATCATTCCTCCATACCTTAGTATGAATGAAGTTAAAAGAAATAATCTACTGTCATGAAGACGACCTCAAACCCTGCTCTCTTATCTTGATGCATTCTTTGACTATCTAATTTACACCACAATTCTCTGTCTAAGAGGTCTCTTCAATCATATATATATAATCATGTAAAAGAAAGAAGAAGAGGGGGAAAAAAGAGAGGGGCTCATGAGAATGCATCAAGAACACATTAGTCTTCTTCTCTTATATGAAGGGAGCTTTCCAAACTCTTCTACCAGGTTGGGGTTGAGAGCCACAAATTACACTAAGAAAACCCTATGCTATGAATAGGTACCCTAGAAATCTTCCACAGCTTTCCCTCGAAAAATCAAACTGTGGGGCCAAGCGAGCGGCGAGCTCCACGCAGTCATCTAAAGGTGTCATCTTTGAGCTTGTTGTTCTGATCCAGCGGCACCGGAAGTGCTCGGCCCTGCTCCAGCACCATTCTCAGCCGGTGGCGCGGTGCCCCATTTCCCTTCCGATTCCATGGTTCTAGCACGTGGACTGCGCCGTCTGTTAGTCCCAAAGCAAACTGGTTGGCTTCTGTTGGATGTGCGGCGATCACCAACGGATAGACCCTCAAGCTGTTGAAACATTACTAAGTGTCAAACAACTAAACCGAGGGACAAGAATAAAGTTTTGGTCAAACATTACCTGCTTCAAACAATCAAGTTTCGGCGCTTCGTACAGTGCTATAAAATCAAGGAATGCGAGCATAAAAAGGCGGCGACGGCAAGAAGGTGGAGAGGCAGGATTCTCCGATCCGAGCGAGTGACGGCAACCGGCCAAGCTGGCGTATGCTTACTTGAGGAAAATCAAGGGATGCGAGCATAAAATCTATGTTTACTTTGCCAGTAGCGACGGCGGCAAGGAGAAATCGCTGTTCGGGAAGCTGGCTGGGAGTTGTATTGATGCGAGGAAGGAGATAGGGCCTATAGGGGCTGTTTGTTTTTGTTAATTTTGTATTCAGTTCTTTAAGGTTAATTATGTAATTTTGCAGTTTTAAGTTAGGGCGATTAAATTAATTAGGGCGAGATTTAGCCATTCAGTTGTTTTATTATCGTTTGTTACTACTGTGTAAAATCATATGGGAGTTTATACTAGAAAAATTAATTGTAGAGTATTTTGTACTGAAAACGTGATGTAATTATGGTTCACCCATTTCATGTCGCAAAAATTTATCTGTCGATTTTGGACTTCGATAGGAGATTTTCCCAGTCGCATCGTCGATTCGATACGGTTTCACGAACACTTATATTTATGCAAGTAGTTCTCTGTAAATTCCATATTATTCATTTTTGCAGGTTAGGGTTGTTTGGCAACTACGATTGTTTGGCAACTATGTAATGTCAAATTTTAATATTAGGGTGTGTTTGGATAGGTGTATTTCAAATGTATGCATTTTAAATACTAGTATTTGAAATACATGTAATTCAAATTTGTTGTTTGGATACTCATATGTAATTTGTTTGTATTAGGGCTGGGAAACAGTGCGGTCTGATCCAGACCAGACCATACATACGGTCTATGGTCTAGACCGAGAAGCTGAAGCATGGACCATGGACCATACAAAATACTACACGGTCCAGAGCATATCACGCCTGCGCGGTCCGGTACGGTTTCGACCATGTGAACCAAATTTAGCAAAAATTGAACATTTTCTTCAGTCAACCACACAAAAAATCGAACCAATAACCGAGAAAAATAATGTGTTTCCCCCTAAAACATAAATTAAAACACGCATGCGTAATTCTGATACGATAAATCCAAGTAAATAACAAAGATACAAAGTTAAATCAACCCAACTTGCACCATAACTTCATAAATGTTAACATAATATCATATGGAGACAGAATTGTCTCTACTTGATGCATGAGTGGGGTTTATGAATGAAGGACGAGTTGATATTTGCAAAACTAAAGTTGAGACTTGGGCCTCGTTGAAGAGATGAGAGAGTGGTCGAGTGAGCTTCTAACATGAATTGCGAAGTGGGTTGGGTCCACGGTTTGGTCCGGTAAACCGCGGTCTAGCCAGATCAGACCAAGAAATCAATACATCCTACAATACAGATCATGGACCAGACCAGACCATTCTTAACGGTCTACGGTCTGGACCAAACTGTGCAGTCCGATTTGGTTTGCCGTTTTCAAATAATCTGGTATATTTTCCCAACCCTAGTTTGTATTTTTAAATTTAATAATTATTATTTTAATTTTGAATTTTCAGGTCACTTACTATAATTTTTGATAAATTACAGCTTATAATTTAGTACATAAACTTTTAACATTTTACAGTAAGGTCCAGAAATTTTAATGGTAAAATTACGTTTTGCTACCTTCATATGTTTTGTCTCACACTATAGTACCTAAACTTTTAATATTTTATAAATAGGTCCAATCTTTTATTAGGAGGTATTTCACTAGTTGTTGAAATGTATTTGAAGTTAACAAGTAATACACTATACATGTATTTGGAAATCACCCCGTCAATTTGGCACAAATCCAAATACCAAATATAATTAATATCCAATCACATAATTTGGCATTTAGAAATCTAAATCTTAAATACCAAATCCAAATCATTCTATCAAACATTTTAGAGTGCATTGTTTAGGCTGCATGAATTCATAGTGGACATTGATGGGTATGAAATCTTAAACACTTTGGGTAAACTCAACGTACGTATTGGAGTTATCATGATGACTGATGAGCGGTGACAAGAATTCTCAAATTTAGGAATGGCAACAAAACCCGAACCCACGGGTACCCACCTGACCCAACCCGGTCAACGCGGGTAAAACCCATGTTGACGGGTTTTGGGCCGGGTTCGAGTTTAAACCCGCTACACTATTCACCGGATCGGGTTGGGTTTGGGTTTAGGTAAACTTTCCCCATGGGTACCCGCCCACACACATATAATTACTTTTTCGGTATATTTAATATTCAAAATAATATATCTTCCTTAAAAAACTAATATTCTTTTATATTTGTGGAGACATTTATAATTTGTTCTTTCTCATTGTTTAGAATGAAGTTGATATTATGAAGTGGAGAGTGAAGAAACTTAGTTGACGAGGAAGAAACTTTCAATTAATCTTATTTTTTATAGATGTTTATCTTTAATTTTAAACAATTTGTATTGATCATTTGCGGTTTGCTTGTATGCTCTAGATTGGTGTTTTTTGTATGAATAATTTGTATGAGAAAATTGATGTTAAACTTTTATTTTGTAAGAAACTTGTTATTGTAAATTTTTTACCACAAAAACCCACGGGTACCCATGAACCCGCGGATACCCAGCGGGTTGGGTTGGGTTTGAGTTTTTCAAACCCACCGGGTTTTACCCCGGATTTTTTTGGCGGATAAACCCATGGGTTTGGATTTGGGTTTGACAAAACCCACCCCAACCCGACCCATTGCCATCCCTACTCAAATTATAATTTATATGGTTTCAAAAAATGGAACATGAAATATAATAATGTGAGATATAATATATTCAGATAATCAGAAAGTAATCAAAGTATTGTCAATTGTGTAGTATTCTCATTAACAAGCTCGAAGAAGTTATTGAAATCTTTGTCAGTGTCAGACATTGTAGATTGCTTTTTTCCCCCTGTCTCCCTTCTTCTACAAAATCGGTTCTATATCATTGGTTTATCAAATTATCTATCGGAGTCCTAATTAACTCTTTAAAATAACAAATTTCTAAAACACTATTTCATAGTCATATCATAAGGATGCTCTTTTTGTAATTAATCAAAGTTTGGAGGATTTTTTGCGTCATTATAATTAAGATTCTAATTAATTAACTTATGAAAATTGAACCGAAATTCAACCCAAATCAATAGGTATTTCACATAATTCGACCCGATTGAATTAACTCTTTAAGAGAACAAATTTTTAAAACACTATTTCAAAGAGTCACATCACAAGGGTGCTCTTTTTGTAATTAACCAAAGTTTGGAGGAGTTTTTGTGCCATTATGATTAAGATTCTAATTAATTAACGTATGACAATTGAACCCAAATTCAACCTAAATCAACAGGTATTCCACCTAATTCGACCCCATTAAAGCGAGTTGAACCCGGTGTAGACGAATTTTTTTGTCGACAACGAGGTTTTGTGCCATTAAGGTTCTACTTATGACAATTCAACCCGAATCAATGGGTATTCAACCTAATTTGACACAGTTAAAGCAAGTTGAACCTAATTCGAGCCAGTTAGAGCGAATTGATCTCGTTGTTAACGAATTTTGGTTCAAGGATGAGTTCTACATGCTTTACCTAATTAATTGACTAATTACAATGGTACCCAAATCCATGGGTATTCTACCTTAATTATTCGACCTTGTTAAAGCGAGTTCAACCCATTGTTGACGAATTTGAGGTCCTACAGCGAGTTTACACGCTTAAATCAATGTTGACCCAGTTAAAGCGAGTTGAAACTGGTGTTGTTCAAGTTTTGCACGCTTAAATCAATGGGTATTCGACCTAATTCGACCCGGTCGGAGCGAGTTGAACTTAATGTTAACGAATTTTGGGTCGAGGACTAGTTTTACTTGTTTACCTAATTAATTAGCTTACGAAAATCTTACCTAAATTCAACCCAAATCAATGGGTATTCGACCTAAAGTCGACTCGCTTAAAGTGAGTTTAACCCATTGTTGACGAATTTTTGGTTGACAAGAAATTTTACACGCTTAAATCAATGGGTATTCAACCTAATTCGAGCCACTTAGAGCGAGTTGAACTCGATGTTAATGAATTTTGGTTTGAGGACAAGATTTACATGCTTTTGTAATTGGCGGATTGGGTCAGTGTGACTTTATTAAAAACTCACCCTACTTCCCTTTGCTAACATTTTAAACTTTCATAATTTTGTTTTCTTTTTATAATTAAGAGAATTGAATCCGGTATTGACGAATTTTGGGTCGACAACGAGTTTTACATGCTTAAATTAATAGTATTATACTTAGTTGAACTCGATGTTAACGAATTTTGGGTCGAGAACGAGGCTTGCACTCTCTTATGATTGACGGGTTTGGTCGGGGTGAATTTGTTAAGAACTCGCCCACTTGCCTTTGCTGTAATTTTAAACTAATTATTTTGTTTTCTTTTTATTATTATTGTTGACGCATTTTAGGTCGACAACGAGTTTTACACACTTAAATCAATGGTCATTCAACCAAATTCACCTTGTTAAAGCAGGTTGAACTCGGTGTTAACAAATTTTGGGTTTTCTAACTAATTATTTTAATAACAATTGAACCCAAATGGTATTCGATCAGCGGCGGATCTAGGGGGGGCCGCCCCTGAGCCGCGGCCCAGCCCTCCCTCGATCCAGAGCTAGTATAGCACGTGTAAATTTTCGATTTTTGGTGTTCGTTTCAGTGTTGGTCGTGTTACGGCCCAGCCTTCTCTGCTTTTTTCCAATATGGCCCAGTGCTCTACCCAATCCTGGATCCGCCGCTGTATTCGATCTAATTCGACCCAGGGTTGACGAATTTTAGGTTGAGAACGAGTTTTACACGAATGGTATTCTTGTGCTTTAATGGAAGTTTGAAGGATTCTTTAAGAAAGCTAGGCTTGTTTCTTTGTTTTCCATTTTAGTTTTGTTCTTTATTCACACACCCTTAAAATAAAACAATAAATCCGGTCAAAGCAGGTTGAACCTGGTGTTGACGAGTTTGGTCATGATCGAATTTTACTCACATTGATTATTTAGTGGAAGTTTGAAGGATTATTTGGGAAAGACTTGCTTCTTCATTTTTTCAGTTATGTTTTGTTTTTTTATTCGCACACCCGAAAAACAAAATAATTGACCCGATCAAAGCGAGTTTAACGAGATGTTGACGAGTTTTAGGTCGAAACTCGATAGCGAGTTTTATCTGCTTTATTGTTTCTTTCCTTTGCTTGCTTACTTTATTTCCTTTTGATTTCATGAATGTTGTCATGTTGTAATTATTTTATGCTATACATTAAAAATCAACTACAGCCTATCAATCCTCTTTTGGAATTAAATTAATATTTCTTTTGGGGATACACAAGTATTTGTCAGGACCCCTACTCTGACTAAGAAGAAATTACTGCGGGGAACCACAATAGTTCTTTTTTAAATATAAGTCTTAGTGATGAAGGTAGACTAATTAGCAATTGAGATGTATTCGGTGGAAGGTAATAGTCAAATTTTTTATTGTTTCATTTCCTAAATAGTTTGCACAGTGATTATTGATTGTGCTTGGTTTGTGAAATAGAATGAACACGAGTTTTGATTCCTAAAATACAAAGGAGTACCACCAAAATTAACAAAAATTGTATGGATCACTTAATTCTGATCGATTGATGCCGATTACTTCTCTTTTAGCTTGTAACCCACGTTTGGTTTTTCTTCTATTTGGCAGCTTGTGCTGGACTGTTGGTGCACACTTCCTTCATAGGAATAAACTTTGCTTGCTCATTCTTGAAAAAAAAAAAAAAAACTAGACCTCTTAGACTTTGTAGAGTTAAATTAATTAAAGATTGTTTATGCATAATTCATTGCTGCATAGGGATGGCAATTTACCCACCCATGGGTAATTTTGCCCAAACCCAAGTAGACCCATTTATTATGGGTGGGTTTGGGTGATGTGTGTATGGGTTTGGGGTTTGTATATGGGTTTGGGTTAGATATGGATATTATCTAAATGGGTATGGGTTGGATATGGATATCCATTTACTTGAGGGTGTTTTAACTACACATGCAAAAATTGGACTTATTTGTAAAACTTGAAAAATTTAGGTACCAAAATGTAAGACCAAAAAAATTTAGGTACCAAAACGTAATTTTCCATCGATATTTTGAGGACTTATATGCAAAAAAAATTAAATTTAGGTACTAAATATGCATATCTATTAAGTTTAGGTACCAAACTGTAATTTGTATTTGGGCATGGGTACAAACCCAAATCCATTTGTTATAAACCCAACCCAACCCAAAGTAAATGGTTATGGGTACAAACCCATCAAACTTTACCCATATCCATATATTTGGATTTCATACCCAACCCAATTGGGTTGGATAGTAAAATACCCATGGGTATGGGCATAATTGCCATCCCTATTGCTGCAAGGAAGACTACGGAATACCGGCAATCCAAAAACCCTAATCCTTATAATAACAGAAGTTCATCGACCCACTTTAATTAATTTTCTCCACGGGTTCCTCCTTCCTTCACTAGTCCTTATGGGACAAGGAGTAGGTCTTCTTATGCTTTTCCTAAATATATAACAACCCACTACCAACCGGCCTCACCCTTCAAATCACAGCTCTGGCTAAGGAAAAAAGACGATCTTTCTCATAGGAAATCAATCTCTCTGGTTTTTTGGGTGCGTATTCATCATCATCAGTGGTTGAAGATCATGTCGTTGCGGCTGCCCAGATACACTCTCTTCACGGACAAAACCCTGAGAGAGCACAACGCGAACCCCAAGCGATTCGCAGACGACGTCGCCGAAACCGAAAGGGCCAACTCAGAATGGGACACGGACGGAGGCTACGCCAAGCTCATCCATGAATGCAGAGCAGCCGCAGCAGGGGACGAAAACAGGGCCGAGGAAATCCTGTTCGAAAGACTCGCCCACATGGCCGCAGCCCGCTGGATCAAAAACCTCGAAGAAGAAGAACAAGAGGAAGAGGAGTGGCGACGTGCTGAGGAGGTGGAAAAGAAGAGGAAACGGAAGATGAAGGCGGCGGCGGCGGAGGAGGATGAGGAAGAAGAAGGGAGAAAACAGAGGAAGAAGCAGAAACAGAGCAAATACAGGGGAGGGCCACCAGCAGCAGCAGCAGCGCTGATCAAGAACGGCAGAGTCGATCCGCGATCGGGATGGAGCCGCCGCCGCGCGAATTCGGGGAGTGGATAAAGCGGCGGCACCCGGGCGTTGGGGAAGTGAAGCTGGTGATCATGAAGGGGCTGTTCGAGACGGACCTGAGCGTGGGCCACAACCGCCTCTCCGTCCCGGCGAAGCAGATCGTGGACGCGGACTTCCTGACGGCGGAGGAGGCGGCGCTCCTGAACGAGAAGAGAGGGGAAGGGATCGGCGTGAAGCTGTACGGGCCCGGGGAGGGGGCGGGTTACACGGAGATGGTGTTGAAGAATTGGGAGCTGAAGAAGTCGAATTCGTACGTGCTGAACAAGGGCTGGATGTCGCTGGTGAGGAGGTTCCCGGAGGTGTTTCAGAGGATGGCCATCGTCCAGCTCTGGTCGTTCCGGGAAGCGGCAGGGGAGCTGGCGTTTCGGATCACCAAGGTCGGGCAATTGCCCAATGATCGGGCCTCCGGGTCCGGGTCCGGGTCGGGATCCGGTGTGAAGAGCGAACCCGGGTCGGGTTCGGATGGTGGTAGCGATAGCGATGGTGGTGGTGGTGGTTTGGATTTGGAGTATGAGTTGGAGGAGGGTGAGGTGAGGCCGGAGCGGGGCAGGCCGAGGGTGTGGCGTGGATCGTGTCCGCCGCGGCTCTGAAGTGGTTTCTTTTTGGCATCGCTATTCGTCGCCCTAATTTTTGTTAAAACTGACTCTAATATTTTTTGTTTAATTTTTTGTTTACAAAGCATAGAAGAGAAGGAAAATCTGTTTAAACAATTACTAATCTATCTTGTTGTACCCATCCCAGCTCGCCAACGACGGGATTTCAACACGTTCCGACGCCAACCAACAAAAAAAAACACAAAAAATTCAATCCTCTGCTATGTTGCGTCTTTTTATTCCTTCAATCGGCGATCCGTGTTGGGGAATAACCCCATTTAGAAATCGTTGCCTCTGAGTTCAATTTCACGGGAGCCAAGACTTGCCTGGGCTATTTCTCTCTTTGGTTGCCTTCTTCTTGTCGAGTCATCTGCTCCAACCTACAATTCTCATCTTAATTGTGCATAATTGATTCTCTCAATTTCTCTTATTCATTAACCGATTCTCTCGCTAGTGTCTGGGAATCCCAAGCCATCAATGTGCCAAATTTTCCGGACAAGGTTCTCCGACTCCACTTCCACGTTCCCTAGCTGCATCATACCCTGTTTTGGATAAATTGTTCTCTCCTTCCTTCTTCTTCGCCCTCCTCCCTCCTCCTGGTCGATAGCAACGACAAATATCAGCGGCGGCGGGGAACGACTCCGGCGGCAGCTAGTGATCTTCTTCGTCCTCCTTTCTTGGCAATCGGGACCGGACGAGAGCAATTCTTAGATGGTCAGCGGGGAGCAATTCTTGGGTGGCAGGCGGCGACATTTTCCCCTTTGTGAGTGTCGGATTTTGGGTTTAGGTTAGGATTGAGGTTAGGGGTAGGGTATATGTGTAGTTTAGGCCGATTTTTTTTTTTTTTTAATTTTAGGGCCGTGAATAGTGATTTAGTTCTTTTTCTTTTTTTTCTTTATGTTTCTTTGTAAGTTTGGTCACTATAATTATTTTAAAAATTCACGTTTGTCACTAAAATTAATTTATTTCATTCGCAGTCACTCAAATTAGTTCAACATTTCAAGTTTGGTCACTCTCCGTTAGTCTCTATTAACTTTAGCTGACATGAATCAACTTTGAGAGTTGACCGTTAAATAAATGTTGTGGAAATTAAAAAATAATAAATTTAATCTTTTAAAAATTTCACCTCTTTATCAAATAAATAATAATAATAATAATAATAATAATAATAATTGCAATCACAAATTCACGGGTAAGGGGAGCTCCCCAATCTCTTCCTCCGCTGCTGCTTCTCCAATCTTTCACCTCGCCCAGGCTCCTAGGTAAGGGAGCGATTTCTGGTAGCCATTTGGCATATGGACGATGCAATCAAGAGCTGAGTCGGGGCAAATAGTTAGCGGAAACTAGATTGATATTTGGTGCCGGGAGGACTAGATTTGTAACCGGATTTCTATCAATCGGTTTGAGTTACTACATGGAGAGATCTTCTTCATCCATGGAGTTGGATTCCGATCTGAGTCTCAAGGCGACGGATTTGAGATTAGGGTTGCCCGATTACTGCGGCGGACGACGAGCTGCCCGAAGAATCACAGGTCAACAGCATATTTCCGACCACCGTATTGACAGTCGGCACAGAATCAACAACAAGAGATCTTCGCCGGAAGCTCCGTCCTCCAACGAGTGAGGTCGCAGAGCGATTCAAGTGCGTCCAATGTCGAAGATTGCGCTCCTCCTCCAGTTCCAGCAGGTCGGGGATCACTACAGGAAAACAGTTTTCTAGTCACGGGATCTTATTCACGGTAATATTTCCCGTACTAAGAAGTATGCTAATGATCACTGGAAAAGTTCCCGTATTTGATTGTATAGTTCTAATCACGGGAATTAATTTACCTAGTTTTTAGTCTGCATTTCCCGTGATTAATTGTTAGTCATGGTTAATTACCGTGAACAATGTGACTAATAATTACTCATGGTTAATTAATGTGACAATTTATCTTTCCAAATTATAAATTAAAATTAAGATAAAATAAAAATGAACTAAGATGAAATGAGTAAAAAATGAAATGTGTTCAAAAATTTTACCAAGGTTAATGTGACAAAAATTTTAAAAAAAAATTATAGAGGAAAGACTTTTTTCACTCGATGGATGAAATAAATTTGAGATGAACTAAAAAAAATGTTCTCCCTAATAAATAACATGGGTGGGAATTGGAAATTGGTTTACATTCATAAACCCAATTGATTTGCCAAAAAGTTGTACACCTCCCCCACTTTCTTCCCGCCTGCATATTCCAAAAATTTCCCCACCCAAAATTTTGGCTCCAAGCCTGAAAATTTTGGCTCCGGCAAATCTTAAAATTTTAGGTTTATCCCGCTATTGCTTTACCACTATTAGTTTTCACTGCGCTCCCAATCAAAAAAGAAAGAACTCTCTCTGTCTCTCTTCGTTCCCATCTCTCCTCTTCGTAGTCAGAAATCAGAATCTCTTCATTCTTCTCCCGCCAATCCTTCGTTCCAGTCGTTCCCTTCTTACTTCTTCTCCGAAGAGTACTCTAGGCCTGCAGCTAAGGTATGTTTGTACCCGAATCTTGTCCCTTTCCCTCTTTAAACTCCTCCATTTCTCTCTTTATTTGATCCCAACAATCGATCCTTTCTATATCTGTTTGAATCGCATGCAGTTGGAGCTACAAAGTAATTTAGCATAACTGGAATGAAGGAAGTCCAATTTGGAGAGGGATTGAATTTCTCACATCAGGGTTTTGTTTGGAATCGTTTGTAATTGACAAGGTACATTTCCAATTTGCACTCTAGGGTTATGATTTTACTGTGTCGGTTTGTATTCGGCATGAGGAGATTAAAATGATCACAATATCCTTGTTCAGAACTGCAGACGAACAAAAGAAAACCTAATGCATTTTTTATTTTTATTCATTTTTGGCTGCGTTAGGAATCTAATGCACTTTTTCTCATTTCCTGGATGTGGCTATGTGGTTTTAACTATGCGAAGGTAGCAGACTTTGTACCTTGCCGGCGGATGAGAGGCCACTCTATCGTGGAGAGGAGAAAGAGGAAGTCAGCCAACCCCTAAAAGTACCTGTACTTCCGATGAAAATGGCAGAGTGGAGGAGATGCATAACTTTTTAGATGGTTTGACGCAAGTAATCTAGGTGATACTCTCTCGGTTCTCTTCTAATTCTACACTGATCAACTAAGCTTGTTAAATTAGAGATTTAGGTTACTGACTAGTTAATTTTGGGGGGTTTAAGATGGTTTGCGATTCTGAGTTTATGGATTGGTGTTTGGTTTGTATTAACTTGGACTTTGTGATTAAATAGTTCATTTTAACATGAAGTGTTGGCTTGATTTTCACGAATGACAGGAAGCTCTCAAAGGGTTAAATGATGCTTACTAAGATATATTGGTCAGTTAATGCCTTTGTGTAATTGTGATGGATTCGAAGGGGGTGATGTTTACAAAACCCAACCTACTCTCTTGTGCTAGAAAGTTATGACAACATATGGTTATGTGATAGATGCATTATATACTCTAAGGAAAAGGGTTTAGTTGTCGATTTATATTTAAAAGAGGATATTACTTTTGGATATTCTTTAGCAGATGGAGTAGTTGGTGTATCCTTAATTGGTTTTCCTCTTGCTTTTATTGTGTCTATGCTTCTAGACATAGAGAGTTGAGAAAGGTGTGTAATCGACAGTTGGCGTTGCTGCATTCTTGTGGTGGTTGTTCTAGTGGGGAAGAGCTAAGTGTAGCTCAAGTCTTAAAATTGGCAGCTAATATACCATCTTTCGTGTTCGTTGCTTCAGATATGGTTGGTGTGATTTTCTTCTGCAGCTGATCGAGTTTATTTTATTATGTTAGCTTTGTTTGGATGGATATGGTCCATTTCCATTTATTGTCTCTACTGCAGATTCCGGTGCTGACATCACTGGCCCTAGATGCCACAACCCTCTACTTCTATTCTATCCATGCTTTTGCATTGCACATGTGAATAGCTGATTCTGTGTTTGATTTTTGGCAGATAAGGCGAAGTAGCTTGTAAGCTCCACAAACATGTGACTGAAAAAAGAGGAAGCAGAATTTGGAAGTGGATGAGCAGATAAGGTACATAGATTGAAGGATCAAGTTTAACTGTATTCTTAAATGCACTAGCAATGCAGAAAGAAACTCAGCAATGAGCTCTCTGTACTCGGTTTTAGTTTCTCTTTACTAGATGCTTTGGAAATAGCTCTCTTTACTAGATGCTTTGGAAATAAGAGTTTGCTTGAATGGTCTCTCTCTTGCTACTTAACTACCGTTGCTTCTTATTAGCTAGTCTATTGCTATCTCCTGCAGTGAGCCAGGGTGACATTATATAGATTGTGACGACAACAATTGGCTTTGGACTACTAGAAATTTGTTGAAATAAAGCAGTAAGATTTGTGTTGCACCTTTGGCATATTCATTTATTGGTTTGCCTGTTTACAATGATGATACTTTTGGCATTCTCTCTCAGTTTTTGCAAGGTCTGCATTTTGTCTATGTTAGTCTTTAGAAGTTTACTTTCTAACTTTCTTTTGACTTGAATAGTGACAAATATCATGTGGAAAAAATGAACATCAAATTTCGTACTTAAATCAATCCTTCAAATATCATTGGTTCACCTTATCACTAGAGATGCTTATGAATCTGAATCAGGCTGAGAAAGGCAGTTTGAAATTGATGTTTGCTGCAGTTTACCTGACGTCTCTTGGAAATGGAAATAATGCTGAAGCTTCTACTGCTTCACCAGAATGTTGATAATGGAATCGATAACTGTTTGAGAGGGAATGTCATAAATCGGACTAGGGAAGTTTCAAAACTGGGTTGGTAAAAATGGGAAACTCAAATGTTAATTGTGAGATAATGATTTCACTTGATTTCTCCGCAGCTGTAGAACTCAAATGTGGGGATCTTAGTTACTTGTCCAAGCATCATTGCAAGGTATTGGATTTATCAGTCTAACTCCTTAATTTAGTTGGCTTACTACTTACTAGTCATATGACTTTTTTTACTTGTGTGTT